ATAAAACACAAAAAAATTATACTTAAAATAATTTAATCCTCTTTCCTAAATTTTGCTCATTGTGCATATTTCTTTTAACAGGCCTGGGATAGTTAAATGCATTACAGCTACAGTATGACTGTGATTTCTCTCTAATGCCATTTATGTTTTCTAGAATTATGCTAAGTGAAGAACAAAGTACACTGTGTTATTCCCATTTATTACAACCATGTCCATAATTTACAAGCTGATTATGCAAGCCTCATACAAGGAAAATCAGAGAATAGTTAACCATTGTCAAAGAATGGTGAGCCAGCATACATTTTGTCAACTACATTTTCTTACATAGCTACCTAAAAAGAAGCATTAAGATCTACAGATTCGCTTTATTGGGAATTAATACTGAAAGCAACTATTTTAAGATAATTTTATAAAACATATTAGGGAGCAACCAGGTGTTCTAAATAAGTAACAGCTGAATGTGACATACAACTAAATATAATGACAAAGAAATAATATGCAGGCAATGTGCTTTGCCTCATGTTGTTTTTAATAAAATGTAAGTTATGAGATTTATAGAAAGAAAAATATCAATTCATTAATATTTTCTTTTCAATGACACATCCTTTGTTGTTGCTCTGAATTAAAAATGTACACATTGGAAAGCTAATAGTTATTTTCATTTTCATTTGGGATGAAAAAAGTAAAAAATGTTTTGTTCTGTGTATTTTCAGAAATATTAAAATATCAAAATTTACTGCAATTGTTTCTAGCTATATAGAATAATAAAGTTGATGCCTTTGAACAACTCTATTACCAAAACACTAATTATTTCTAGATAAATACATTTCACAGTCCATTTAGCTCTCCAAGATATTTTACTACCCCAAACTCACTTCAGAAAAATAATGTTTTCATTTTGATAACACAAGTATACTATCCTATACAAAGGTATAGCTATCAATAGAATTTCACTCTCATAAAAATGACACATGAAACACTTGGCATAATAAGTTACCTAAGGCTTTTTAAATAGATAGATAGATAGATAGATAGATAGATAGATAGATAGATAGTAAAACTCCTTTTAGGTAAATAACTTTTTTAAAAAAAATTCATCAAATACATATTGAATTCCAACTATGTGTCAGGCACTATACATCAAAGTAACATCCTGATTTATTCAGGACCTGATGTCAAAATGATCACATCAAATTTGTAACATTAAAGCACTTTGAAACTCTAAAACCCTCAATACAACCTTCCCTCTCCTTCCCTTTCCCCCACCACCCACATATGGGCTTTTAGATGTTGCAAGATAAGGCATCAGAGATCACTGACCCAGTGAAATATAACATTTCCATGGCCACTCTTGTGCCTGAGATCAACTGGAATAGGATTCAAACAAACAAACAAACAAACATGGTTCCTGTATTTATTCTGTCCTTTCTCCCTCAAGTCCTTGACCTACCTTTCTTCCACTGAACACTAAAAATTATATCCCCAGAAGTTTAATTCATTTTATGTAAATATCCTTTGTAATAAACATCATGAGATATATCTACTCTATATTAGTGAACACTTGTATTCAAACAAAAATATCCTATTACGAGTAGCTTTCAATTCAAATTTTCTAATGTTTACATTTCCAAAAATTAAAATTATTTTCTATTTACCGGAAAATTTCTTAATTCTAAATTTTGATGTCTGCCAGACAAACAAATTGATTAAAATACAAGTGGAAGCTAGTTATACTCTTATATAACATACAAGTAATTTACTATTTTTGTTTTTTGTTGTTGTCCAGAAAAGTCATGCAGAAATGAGAAATTAAAACAATTTTTTCTAATGGGAGAATATAAAAATTTTGTTCATTAACATTACTTAAAAGAGTCAAAACATGTTTCTAAGATCTGTAGTATAAAATATTCCATGGAGAATAAATTTTATAATTTGTCTAAGTTCCTTAGTTCTAAAAGGTAATTTAATTATTTTCTTTCTAAAAAGTAGAATCAAGAACAGTGTATTCAGTTTGGCTATCTTAAAGGGAAGTAGACATTGAATAAAATTTTAAAGAAGGCATTTAACCAAGTTTATCACCACAGTCCACAATTTGCAATATAATTCAAGAAAACAACACATTTGAAAATGTGTTAAAAACTCAAAAGTCTAAAGGAATAGTTTTTTAAAATAAAATATTGTACTCACATAAGTTTAGCTATAAATATAGCTAGTAGTTTATATTAGCTGCTTCCCTTAACAATTCACTTCAAAATGAATTAACAGATATAAACAAATATTCTCTTAGAAGTAGCTGAGGGAAGTGAAATATCTACAAAGATCCATAACTGTACCTGTATTGATTTTCTCTTTCCCCTTTGTTTTAAATTCATAGTAGATGATAAAATACAAAATTAAATTACTCTTTTCTCATCTGGCCTCGATCATATCCAAAGCCATTTATCTAAACCTAGGCCATCTATAAAAAATCAGTGGCCAAATCCTAAAGGCATCCCTTTACCTCACTGCAGAATTTCCCCAGGCTCCATGCTTGTCTGTGAGAATGTTGATGATTTTCTGGATTAGTTGAGTTGCTGTAACATGGTCTCGATACTTTGCTGCTCTTATCAAATGATCACACATTTTCTCATCTTCTCGTTTGTCTGCAGAATACTGGGCACACAGTGACTTGAATAGAAATAAAGAAACATTTATTAATATATAAAATATGGAGAAAAATTTTAAATACATTATAAAATCATCTTTAGCATGAATCAAGATAACCAAAATTTTAAAGCTACTTTTATATCCCTCATTAATCTAAATTGACTGAGATTTAGGGATCTGCTTTCTCAGTATAACATCCTGCAAGAATTTCTCTCTCTGAAGTCAATCATAAGATACACTCAGAAGTGGTTAACATCTAAGCAGAGACCTGAACGAGAAACCAGTCATGTAAGATGCAGGGGCCCAGCATTACAAACGGCATGAAATGAGGTTGCAAAGGACCCAAGACACAGTGAATAAATAAGGGAATAATGGCATGGAATGAATTTGAAGAGGTGGGCATGGGCCGCATCATTTCTACCACATAGTTGTGGTAAGGAGTTTAGATTTTATTCAAATGTAATAGGATACCAATGGAAGGTCTTAAGCAGTAGAGTGATGTGATCAATTTACATGTTAAAATAATCACTATAGCTGCTATTTTGAGAATGGATTGTAGCGGGACAAGAGAAGTGAACTGGGGACACAACTTGTGATGTCACTACGAGGTCCAGAAGAGACAACAGTAGCTTACAATAATAAACAGCTAGTTCTCGACACCTTTAGAAAATAAAATAGTTTGATCTTTTAAATCCTAACAAGGATGGACCAGCAGCACTGGAATCACTTGGGAGCTTATTAAAAATGCAGAATCTCAGGTCCCACCTCAAACCTACTAAATCAGTAGGAGATTTAATAAAATCCCAAGGTGATTCATACGTACACTAAAGTTTGAAAAGTACTGTCTTAGCTATCATCAATTCTGTCAAAAAAATCTTAGTATTCTTTGGCAAAATCAGATACAAAACAATTACTAGTTTCCAAAATGTATATTTCTTTTCTTTTGGAATTCAGATACCTGTGATATCACATTTATGATGCTGTAGTTAATGCAGTGCTTATAATAAGAAAACATAAAGACTAATATAAACTAGATCCTTCACTGTATTCACAGGGTCTATTGGACTCCTCCCCTTAACTTCTAAATATAAGTTACACACACACACACACACACACACACACACACCCTCTGCTAGATAAGTAACATAAATTTAATGTTGGAACAAATATTACTAGTTTATTTACGTGATACACATTGTGGTTGCTTACTTCTCCTACAGTCTACCAGTTTGGATAGTTTGTGCCACATACTACCCCCATCACTACCCAAGCAACAAAGAAAGGTCCTGATCATTTTAAACTAATCAAGGTAATAATCACCCCACATTGACAAACTGCTCAGGGAAAGGCACTTGATGTAATTGGTGCATTAAGGGCAAAATTCAGATTTTTTTTTTTTTTTGAGTGACCCAGACTGGAGTGCAGTGGCCTCATCATAGCTCACTGCAACCTCAAACTCCTGGGCTCAAGAGATCCTCCTGCCTCAACCTCCTGAGTAGGTGGGACTATAGGTGTATGCCACCACACCTGGTTAATTTTTCCATTTTTTTTGTGGAGACAGGGTCTCACTCTTGCTTAGGCTGGTCTCAAACTCCTGGCCTTAGGCATTCCTCCCACCTTGGCCTCCCAAATTGTTAGGATTACAGGCATGAGCCACTGTGTCTGGCCAAAATTCTGATTTTTGTTGGACAGTTCAATCCTTCCCTTCACGGTGTAAAAGAGGAAGTATATAACTTCAGAGTGTTGGAAGCTCTCTATGTAGTATGAGAGAAGCTGGCCTGAGGATAAAGACAAAACCCAAAGAGATCAGAACTATGAGAATTATAGAAGAATAGAGCTTATTCCAGATGGAATCATGAACTTCTGGATCAATCGAATCCTAAAGACCACCGTACCTTTAGAATTTGAATGAGATTTTATTTTTATATTTTTTTACAGGAGCCAATTAACTTCTCCTGCTCATTGTATGCCAGTAAGAAAAATCAAAAAAATTGGGTTTTCTGTTCCTCACACCAAAAGCAACCCAACAGATACACTGTATACGTATAAACATAGAGAATCAAATATCTAACTCTCGCTATTTGCCGATGACATGATATTATATCTAGAAAACCCCATGGATTCAACCAAGAGGCTCCTGGAATTGATAAATGAATTCAGTAAAGTCTCAG